GATGACTGGTTTGACACCCATCGGCCTGTCCTTTTTCGCCTGTCCTGTTCACAACAAGCAGAGTTGCCCATGAGACTCAAACAACCGCGGCCTTGGGGTGAACTCCCAGTTGATGCAAATAGCATTCAACAGGCATATCAACGGTGGAGTCCACATCTTCGCACACCGTCAACCATCGAGCAATGGGGGCATAAAGTGGAACGGGTGGTTGATCTTGCCTTGAAAGACTACCACACTGCCCATCCTGAAGCTTTGAACTGGGGGACGTATCCTGGTCTTCCTAAGCCATTCAGGGGTAGATGCCAACCACCTAAGATGGTTCGCAATAAACCGTTGAGCTTTGTGAAGGACAGTCGTCATGGCCTGTATGCACCCAACTGTGAAGTCCATTCCCTGAGCACAGCCCGGAAGATTCGCCAACTCCGTCGCATCCAAGCTTTGCGCCAGAAACTCAGCAAACAGCAGTTCCCCACTAGGGCTAACCTGGAGCAGTTTTGGTCTGAATGGCAGGCCATCTGCAGAAGTCGTGATTTCGGCACAGCCTTCGTCAACTGGCTTGGCCACTGGCCAGAAGCACCGCAGGTGTCCATTCACCTGTTGCCGTCGCCAAGTGACCTTTGGGATGTTGAACAATTGGTCCGCTTCCAGGTAGACAAAGTGGTTCGTGCAGATCAGAAAGTTTGGCAGGCCAAACAAAAGTACATGGCGCTACTTGACCAGAAGGACCTGCATCATCGTAATCAATTTGCCCGGACTAAGGGACCATCTTAGCCGGCCGTCCGCGAACTCGTACTCCACCCACAGGTTGCAGTGTCTGTGATCACACAGGTCCCACCGCAGGTGACAAGCTCGCAGTCCCCCGATGACATCATCTGGGAGGTACATGGTTCTGACCTTAAGAGGTTCACATGTGGCCCTGCTCAAATAGCCCAGTGTGATTGTAACATAATTGCCATACATGATTCGTTCCTCCACTTGCAGTGTCCTGTGGACAACCGGATAAGCCAAGGTCAATATGTCTTGTCGCAGGAACAGTTTGCATTCACTCACTCCGAATTGTGTCACCATCTCACAGGCTACTGGAAGCAATTCTGGCAACGCCCACCCCTCGTAGACCAGGACACTAGTGACCAACTCGCTCAGATGATCCTGCGCTTGCCTCCTGAAGAATTGGTGCCGATCAAAGAACTCGACCCCCAGTTATGGGAAGCCACAGTGAAAGCATTGCGGTCACACGCTGCCACGGTCGTTGACGCCATTTCGGCACATGAACTGAAGATGCTGCCAATTGCAATGATTATGGAACTCGCGGCCATCCTCTGTGCTTACACACAGGGCTTTCCCCGGTGGTATATGGCAGCTCGGGCCATTCCACTCCCAAAATGTTGGGGGCTGCTCCGACCTGATGACACCCGGCCCATAACAATCCTTAGTCAGACCTATCGTTTGTGGGCCAAAGTCATTAATGCCCAGATCTTGGCCACGTTTGCAAGCCGTTGCCCACCTGATGTCACAGGATTTCTTCGGCAAAGAGACGCACGGTCAGCCGCGTACCGGGCCCAGTGGCACATCGAACTGGCTCGCACTAAACAGCTTCCCCTTTCAGGAGTCACATTGGACTTGAAAAAGTGCTTCAACTTGATAGACCGCCAGCGGGTGAGTAATATCTTGCAGAGACTCGGAGTTCCCTGTCACCTCCTGAATCAATGGCTAGCTTCGTTAACCCACTTAGATCGGTTCTGGGACCTTGCAGGGCTTGTTTCTGATCCAGTGCATAGCTCCACCGGGCTACCAGAGGGCGATTGCTGGTCAGTGACTGCGATGATTGGCATTGCCTGGACATGGGCTAATGAACTCCGGCATGTCATAGCACCTATTGTCCCAGCCATTCGTTTGTCGGTCAGTGCCTATGCGGATAATTGGTCGTGGCAATCCAATGACCATCAGATCCATGTGGAGCTCTTTCGAGCCACACACAGGGTGGCATTGTGCTTAGGACTTGAAATAGGCCACTCTAAGACTTGGCAATGGGCAACGTCACAGCAAGGGGTCTCGTTAATGTCCATTGCACTTCAGGCCAACCAGTGGCCCGTTCGTCTCCAATCTGTCATGAAGGCCAAGGATCTTGGCACGCCCATGGTGTATCAAGGTCGAGCTGGAACCAGCATGCTCCCGGACCGGGAGTCTGAAGCAGTGCAACGATTGAAGCGCATCGAGTGGTCCTGTCGTTCACTACATGATAAGGTGCATCAGATTCGAGCCAGTGTGTACCCAGTCGCATTCCATGGCACTGGGGTTGGAGTTATTGCAACTCACCAGCTCGATAATCTTCGTAACCAAATCGCGCAGGCGGTTTTCCATAAGATTCCAAGCATGAATTCGGCCATTGCATTCCAACTGATTGATGAACACCTGCTTGACCCGGCCCTTTTTGCAATCCTTTTGTCCATCAAGATGGCACAACGGTTTTTGCATAACAGCCCACCGGAGGAACGACAGAACTTCCTCACAATTGCAGCCACGGCCAAGGGCAACACAGGCCACATATGGGGACCAGCCACGGCACTTAAGGCCAACTTGCTAAGAATAGGATGGGGCGTTAGCCGTGACGGCATGATAACCTCCCCTCACCTGATCCCGCTGTCGCTGCTCCATGACTCGTTTGCCAAATTGCAACGCTTTGCCAAAGCCTCATGGGAAGTGGACTTTTTCCTCCACTATACCCAAAGGAAGAATCTCAGGGGATATCCAGACATCTCGCACCGCCTTACCACCAGAGCATTGAAGAAATTTCCTGGAGCCACTCACGTTCGATTAGTCCGTGAGTTGGCAGGCGGATTCCAGACCAAAGAACAGCAAAGCAAATGGGACACACAAGTCTCTGGCCAGTGCGAGCTTTGCCAGTTTGAAGATTCTCGATACCACAGAATTTTCGAATGCCCAGCTACTCAATCAGTTCGAGCTCGCTTCAAATCCGTCTGTAACTTTGACCAACTGGTTGAAGCTGAATGGCACGAAACAGCTGGCATCATGATCCCCAGATTGCAGGGCTTGGCTCAAGCACTAATCCATAACCTTCCAGAACCGGAAGTGCCCATCTTCGTTCGGCAACATGTTGTCCACTCCGGAACCAGAGTAGCCTTCTACACAGATGGGAGCTGCCAATGCCCGGAACAGATGCCATTCTCAACAGCAGCATCGGCTTTGATCATGGACTTGTGCCAATCAGACAGTGAGCGAATCTGGCAGGCCAACAACTGGTTGTCCACTCGCACCATGCCACAATCGCTTGTCAGAATTTGGACGGCGCAGTGCCCTGGTGAGCAATCCATACATAGAGCAGAGCTTCATGCACTGGTGAAGGCATGTGAACAATTGTCACATGTTGACGTATTCTCTGATTGCCAAAACGCCATTGATGCTGTGCATAAAGCTCAATTGGGCACACTTCGAGTGCACCCTGATGAGGACCACCTTGACTTGCTTCGACGTCTGCAGCAGGCACCAGGCCTGCATCAAGTCCGCGTTTGTAAGATTAAGGCCCACCTTTCACCTGAACTTGTGGCTGACCCTTTGCTCCGCTACCACACGCTAGGTACTCAGTTGGCCAATGATTGGGCTCAGCGACGCAGCTTGGATCAGCATGACCCGGTAAATGCAGAGCTCCTGATGCAAATGCGGGAAGTTCGTCAACAACGTTCAGACCTGGATGCCTTCCTGCAATATGTCGCTGCGCTTCAGTTAGAACGCCAGACACAACTGGACCTGCAGAAATTGACAAGTGATGAACCCATCCCCGCTTCTGCTTTCCAGTGCCTTGTCAGCTGGACGGTTTCATTGCCACGACCTCCATTTGATTTAGCTTTCGAAGCATGGGAAGGATGCTGCTGGGGACGTGACATTGCTTGTCGCGTCTGGAGGTGGATCAGCCAGCTTGTTTGGCCCGCCCACATCGCACCCGATGATAATGATGGCGTTGGGGTTACATGGCTTGAATTGTTTGTGTCATTTTGCCTGGACCAACAGGTCTTGATCGGTGTACTTCGCCAAGCAAAACAAGAGAAGGAACTCCTGCTGCTGACTAGTTGGCACGATGTCATTCAGTATCAGGTTCAGGTGGAGACCTTTTGCCAAAGTTTTGCTACCTTGGTCCAACAAGTTGCACAGCTTTCCAACCCCCATGGTTGGCCGACGGTGCCCAAAGGTATGGTCAAAAGCCTGTACATGCTTGGGGCACGGCAATGGCGCCACGGACTCCGGGTCCGCCCGGTATTTCCAGCTCAGACAGAGACGATTTGCCTTGTTCGTTCATGGATCACAACAGGCCATGCGACCTCCCATTTAAAATGGGTCCCAAGTCGCTTCTTTGATCCGATCCCGACGCATGCAGCTCCTCTCCCTTGGAGCCAGCTCATCAAGAGCTTTCGAGCACGCCTTCGTAGATTCCGTGCTGAGAGTCCCCAATGAGGGCCGTCGCTAGGCAGTTGCCCGGCCAATGGGCCCAGGCTGCTGACCCCCTCTAACCAGCGGAAAAGGTGTCTTTTTGGACTCCGAGCCAGGCAACCAGAAACCCCTTGGTCTGAACGATCCCATGGGACCCGAATGGGACCCGGAGTCAGGCCGTTGTCCTCTACAAACCAGGGGTTACTGCGTGGAATACTGTGAAGCCGGGAGAAACGGCTGGCGTGTTCTTGATTTTGCTGATTGCTTGTGGAGTTTGCATGCTACTGAGTAGGTCTGAATAGTGCATTCTGAAAAACATCCTTAAGTGAGAACAGTCAGAACCCATGAAAATCCATCGACTTCCGATACTTCAGCAGCCCGGTGGAGAAAAGAAACACAACTGAAGGAAAAGCATGTGGGAACCCAACGGGCCCTTCGCCTATTGGGACTTCCGTGACCGGCCACTGCGACCTCGGGCGTTTGCCCGTTTGCGTCGCCCGGTCGCCCGGCACTGGGTTCAACACCAGGAAGTCGGAAGTCCGTTGCTCCCAAGAGGCGGAGGCATTGAAAGGGATGAAGGGTAAGAGTCTTTTCGCTTGGACCGGCAGCGCCTCGCGAAAAAATAGGTGCCAAGTTCGGAAGATGACACATGTCATTTGACCAGGGATTTGAATCAACTTTTTAAAATCTATGCCGTTATGCTCAGGTCACTATAGACTATAGTCCAGCACGGTCGACAAAGTGTGCTTGGCGCAAGTGACTGCACGTCAATATGAACTGTACGATTGCCATGCATGGCCAAGCGGGATTGCCAGCACGGGGTCGGGCCAGGTTGTAGAGTTTAGAAGGATATTTTGATACATGGATGGTTGAGGGTTGTGAAGGTGCAGCAAACATGATTACCATACAACACGAAAACACATTCCAACGCCTTTTCAATCATAGCGCCCTTGCAAGCAATATGAAGCATCGTGAAACAATTTGAAACATATATATATATATAATCAATGTATTTGGTGTCATCATTCACTACTAGTAGCACATAGCTACTAGATCTACTAGTAGCAAGGTGCCTTACTACTAGTAGCTTGTTACTACTAGTAAGGCACCTTGCTACTAGTAGCTTGATGCATGGCCGCATGGCTTTCACCTGGCCCGCTAAGCGCTTCCAGCCTCCACCGCCAAACGGGCCGCGAAGTAGCCCTGTGCTGCGGTGACGGCGTACTTGGTGAGATCACCAGCGGCCAGCAGCACTGCGGCCAAGCGTTTCCTCGAAGGCAGGAAGTTCTTCCTTTTTAGGCTCAAAAGCGTGGTCTGCAGGTTGATATGATTTGCAACCCTCAAATCCTCACGTCTCACGTTTAAAACAGCAAACCAATAAGTTTCATGAATCGATCCATACTGAATCCTCCGGATGAAATTCTCTCCCGCAAGCAGCCCCCTTAGTGGGTCTCCTGCCCCAACCCCAAACACTTCATGTATGGCATATTTACATTATTTTATATTATTTTACATTGCATTGGGGTGGTTGAAACGGGCTCAATATATGCATACCATCCATGGAGTCTCTGGTAACGTCGCATGACCAATGACCGCGTCATTTCACCAGCCATGGATCTGCCCCCGGGCTGCGCAAGATAACCCGCGCGGGCGCAAGGGGGCGCTCACCCGCGTTGCGAGGTGGCTGGGAGCCAAGAACCTTGGGTCTGAGGATTCGATGGCTGGGAAGGTTTTTACGTTGCACCTTCCGGAAAGTATGGCATGTGAAACAAATTGTGTGGATGTCTTTTAGGTTCCTTTAGTCTAGGATGCAATTGGAAGGCCTTGGATGCAGTACGCAATTCTCTCAAACTAGTTTTGGGTTCAGTGAGGAACTGATCTTCCAGGAGAGGATCGTTTGACAGGTACTTTTGTGATAAATGGACCTCCAGATTTTTGCATAAATTTCTTTTGTGCAATCTTTCTTTGCATACAGTACATAGATCTGTCATGAAATTGGACGCAATCTTTCTTACCTGGCTGGCACACGGTTGGTTCACCAATATGGCTCCCAGCGCCGGCTGTGTTTAGGCCCCGATGGAAAGGCACCCGTGGGCTGGGTGTCATTGACAGTCAAGCAGCAAGAGTACTGCCCGGCACTGTTACAACTGCTACACTCCCCGAAGGAATTCATAGAAGTGGAACCACAGGTTTCTGGAAGATCTTTCTCTCTACCAACAGGTCGTTTTCCAGGGTTGATGACTCGGAGACTCCCCTTCCAACCAAAACAAAGTGCAACCACCACGGCCAACAATTGTCGAGTCATCCTGGGCCAACGTGCCAAGAACCTAGCATTGGGCTTGATGTCCGGAGATCAAATGAACTTCGAGCACCTGTTCTCACACATACATATGATTGTATAACATTGTACTATAGAGAGAGAGGATGAGAGAGGGGAGAAAACATTGGGAACGTGCACGTCCCCACGCGTCCCAAGAAGCGCCACCAGGTGGCCACAAGATCGAGCAAGCGCTGAAGAAGGCAAAGACCAACTCCCCTTGGGCGGCTGAATCGGGATGGCGGTGCCTCCAAACTGGAAGCAATTCTATTTGACACCCACATCCCCAAGCAATGTAGTCCAAGTGTCAATGTGGTTTCTTTTTCTCTGGCGGGGTCGCTGGTTTCGAGACCCACACACATGGATTGCTCACTTCACATTTCCGGCTGTGCCTCTGGACATTCCACCGGCCCAGGCGGCTGGGGGGTTATTTGAACCTCAGCTGACCCTCAAACCGATTCTGAGGCCATGCTGCCATACCCATGCAGATTTGGGGGCACTCCCAGCGTGCAACCAGGTCACGGATTTTGCTTCTGAAGCCCAGCGCCTCAACGCATGTCAGTTCGACAAAACATGGAAGAAGACGAGATTCGATGATTCGATGCAGCGATTTCGGGTGCTGGCTCATGTCTCGCTCCCCAAAGAAACACCTCGCAAATGGTAAGGTATTGATGAACGCATCAAGGGGGTTGTGTTGCACCCAGCCCAAGCAACATGACTGGATGATGATGCCTCCTAGCAAGGATGTAAAGAATATCGAGTTCACGGTTTTCCATGGGCTTTGCCCTCACCAGCATGTTTCACGCCACCAGGGGGTTTCTTACTCAACACGCGCCTCGACCGCAGTCGGGTAGAGACAGCTGGTCGCCGCGCAGGCTGCAGAAATCAGCGTCAAGGTCCTGGGCTGGGGTCACCCACGACATAATGAGCGCATAATATTGGAAGACTCTTCCAAGATCTGCTGGCAAAGGGAAACATTGGGTTAGGATCTCCCTATTTCAAACACACCCTAACTGTCCTGAAAAACCACCATGTCCAGCGACCAAACTCATCAAATTGTCTCAAAGAACGACCTCAACTTGCAACCATGGCTCGCAGCAGCTTCCAAGATGGGTCTCCCCGTTTTCGTCCCAGCAGTTGTCTCCGCGTGCCTTGCTAGCCTGGAACCTCCTCGAGTGTGGTCGTGTGCGGGTCGTCGGAGAAAACGGGACCCTGAAGGGTTCCTGAAGGCGGTCCAGATGGTGTTGATGGGCGAAAACACTCAAAGGACATACACCAAGGGTGGGGTAACACATGTTGGTGCAGGTTGTTCTCAAGTCCAGGCCTGGTCAGGGCACATCAAGAATTCCTTGAAAGAAACCTGGGTTTCCCAATCCTACGGTATCGGTTTCTAAATTATACAGCACGGTTTTCTAACTAGTTGAGCTGGTACTTGAGAGTATACCTCCTGCAAGGTCTGTTTCACCCTCGAGCCCTTAGTCCTCGAGCATCAGCTGCTGCCTCCTGCACTTGGAGAAGGGACTGCACACATTGGTAACGGTAAGACTGGTTGGAATGGGCAGTTGGTGAGCTACAAGTCTGGTAGGTATGCTTCTGTTTGAGGGATCCAAGTGGGAACCAGGATCATTGCTTGACACACCTCGGCCAATTCTGTCGACCTCGTGGGCTTTCGGGGGCCCTGCACACCATAACAGGAAATGGAAGGAATGTAGAACAAAACATCCTGAACCCTCGCTGCAGCCTGCAACAAGCATGGACGTGGACAATGGGTTTGGGCAAATGTATTTGTTCTCCGCAAGCAGAGTTGTAGGGTTTTCAGGCTGGTTGGATAGAGGGCATAAACACATAAACATATTTACTGTATCTATCTGTATACAATAACTCGTATCATATAATCATACACACGCGCCGGGGAACACACCGACACCTACATCAAATGAGGCAGGTGTCAAACCTGGGTGTCCTTTGGCGGGCCAAGGGGCCGAGGGAACCTGGTGCCATCCTCACGGACCGGAGAAAATGCAACTGGTCATGTAGCACATGTGGTCCAACTACACTCCGAGTCACTCACATGGGAAGTGGAACACATATGAACACCACTGGAACAGGAACATAGTCATCCAAAGGGCAATTTTCCACTTGTTAGTGAGTCCGAGGGTAGCTCAATACAATACATTGCTGAATTTACAACTCACTGTAGGACTTTAGATGCTTGGACCCTCAAAACCTCCACCGATGAGGGACAAGTCGCCTATCCACATTGTTGGAACGCTGCGAGCCCAATCTCCGAACCAGGGTGTTTCAGTCACGGAGCAAGTCCTCCCCTAGAAGTCCAAAGACTATATTTTGACCGACTGAAGTAAAGGAAAGTCCTGAAATCGGGTCGGACCTGACTCTAAAGACCATTCTTTTTATAGTCGTTGACTCCCAGGGTTCCTACAGTAACATGCAGTGTCTCTTCGCATTTACGATGGCCGTGGGGATCGGGGTGTCTCAGCCCTCGCCTCCGAGGCGGAAAGCCTCTCCTTCCTCAGGTCGCCTCACTCGTGATATGAGAACTCGGAAAAGCATTGATGAAGCCACCGATTCCAGGGTTGACCAGCTTCTGGCTACCAGTGATCGATCGGTCTATGTCCTTCCGCTGATTTCGTGCCATCGATGCACACAGCGGTGTCCGCTAAACGGAACCACACAATCGAACCGTTGATGTGTTACATAAATGGATCCTGGCTAAGACGTAACACAGTAAAAATTGGCTGGTGGACAGTTTGTTACATTTCTAAGAATATCGTATGTATGGCATTTATGCTTTTATATCTGTTACAACGGATTCAACCCGACAACACGGGGGAGGGAGAACTTGGACCGTGCAAAGACCATTGCCCCCGGCCCAAGGGGTTCCGAAGAAGGCCCCAGGTGCATGGTGAGCAGTGAGCATCATGAATACAGATTACAGGATATACATATAACATCATATAACTATATATAAGGAAAAAACTATACAACACACATGGTACGGACCCACTTGTGGGGAGTGGGCCAATAGGCTATCCTGGTTTGATTTGCCTAGTTTCTGCATATATATATATATATATGATATGTTTCTAATTATCTATCAACTGTCTCTGATTAAAGACTCTGAAATCTCCTGATCCTGAAGGCCTGAAGGAAGAAACATTGCACTGATTCCGCTAGAAATCAGTTGAATCATCATGATTTTAGTCCAGGGATGCCGGAAAGCCGCAAATCCAACATTTGAGGATATCCTTCGCAGCTAACATATGATGGTCCAAACATCTATAAACATCTGAGCAAACCGCCTCGCCAAGTTACCAGCCCAAGAAGCCTCAGAGCTCAATTCAACACTCGAACCAGCCGGAGACATCTGAAGGAAGGGAGGACCCTTCGGGGCAGTTGACTGAGTCAAGTTCGGAAGTGTTCAAGAGCCAGTTGGAACATGTCCTGACCTTCATCCCGTTGCAACCGACTTCTGGCGGACGGACATCTGTGAGCAACCACGTGTTCTTTGATCAAATATCGTGGACGGACCGAGGGTGCAAGGTGTCAGTACTAGTGTCAGTCTATGGGCAAAGAATGACACAACTGCCGTGGGGCCCTACACCCGGGAAAAGTAACATGGAACCTGAAAATGGACCTTTGGAAGACTTATTTTCCTCTACAACCCAGTGGTTTTCAGGTTCCATGTTAAACTTCCAGGGTGTAATTGAACGATCTTGAACAAGCAACCGCCGCGACCGCCGTGGATGCCGCGGTCCGGGTGACCAGCCGCGACGGAGGCGATGGACCGAGGCGACGGACCATGTCAACCTACTAGCGGCTTGGCCTCCAAATGCCTCCAACCTATTAGCGATGGCCTCCAACAGGGAAAAGTGCCTGACAAAAAAAAATCATGTTACACATTGGATTGAGGGCACTCTAGACTAGAGGTCGTCGGACTTTTTGCAAATACAGTGGAACCACTGCCTGGCTTATTGACCACACCATCTCCGAATCTGCCACACCAGGTTGCCAGTGCAAGAACACCCTTTAGATCTGGAATCTCATACACACCCAACCCCCAAAATCACATACCTTCTCACCAGGGGATCTTCTGCAGCTGGGTGTATTTTGAGGGATGTTCCAACTCCTGGGTGGGGCGTACCCCGGAATTGGCGAGCTCCGCTGCCAGGTCGCTGAGATCGCTCCAACGTGCCCGCTGCGGCGGGCCGGTGCCAGGAAGCTGGGGGCACAGCGGGCCAGGAGCAAGGCCACCAGGATCCTGAAGAGAATGCGACAAGGTTCATTCTCAATAGGATGGTCTTGTAGCCTCAGGCAAATACTTGACGGGTATCTAGATCAAACCTGGTGAACATACACACAAAGTTTGAAACTTGACCATTCTCCCCCACCAAGCGGTACATCAAACAAACACAATAGTTGTATTGTATTCCCAGTGATGGTCAGTCAGGGTTCTCTTCAAGCCAACGGATGCCAGTTCCATGAGCAAGTCAACAACAACAACAACAACA